GTTCGCAGCGCCTGTAGGCTATGCTCTCGAGTTGTCTCCGAGGAGTTCGCTGATGGTGTCAGCATCATTAAGTCCCGATACATGAGTCAAGAAGAGATGATGCCGAGCATGGATATGAAGGATTGAGAAGGCGACGGCGATGCTGAACTGACTTAAAAGATGGCGGACGAGCACACAGGCTGCGAAGAAGCGTGATATTATAGTCTCTTCGAAAACACCGCCGCATGAGGATCATTGTGGATGATGAAAGCTCAATACTGAGTATTTACACGTAGAAATCGCGTGGTGGGAGTGGATGGATAGACCACCCCCCAACATTTGAAGGGGCGGGCCAATTATACAGGGGTTGAGTCGTCGAAGCTGAAGAGACCTTGGATACAGGGTAGCAAGCAGAGCCAGAGAGTGAAGTGTCAGTTGCGTTGAGTCCGATATCATCATCTCTGTCTTAGATCTGAAAACTTATGATAGCGTGAGAGAGATGTTCGTTGTTTCTTGTGATGGGGTGTGCATACGAAGCGTTTCTTGAGACACTAGAGGGAGTCAGATGAACCAAGCTCCACTCGGATGAAAGAAAACCATGCAGGAACCAGAAAGTATGCTAATCTGGACGCTGTTTCTCCGACACACTTTCGCAGTTCCCACCTCAACTATAGCCATTATCGTAGAGGACCAGAGCTCAGAGCTAGGAGTTTTCCAACATTTTCGTGCCAGCGGTTGAAGAGAGACAACTTTCCATCTTGAAGTGATGTCTTTGTTGAGATCCCATCGAGTGTACTGCTGAGTAAAGCAGAGTTGGCTTGAATGATGGCCGGTGACTTAACGTAGGCCAACAGCTGGCAGTACCAATTCAATCTCCTTCTCAACGCTGTTCTCATCTGGCGTGTTAGCCACACCAACAAGGTCGTTTCCACTGGTTAGTTTGCACCGCCCCTAGTGTCTGAAAGCGAGAAGCAAATACCATCTTTAACTTCAATAGAAAAAGCCTGATTCTGATGAGGGGTTGAAATCGGGTACACGCTAGAGGACCACGTAACGCCTCTCAAAGCTAAGGCATAACCCGTGTGGGATGTAAGCGAACCCAGGTATCAGACACGTCCGTCAAGGTCCGTCGTAGCTGCACGTAAAGCTGGGTACGAGCTTTCGGAGCATTGGTACCGAGCTGGCAAAAGCTTGGGTAGCTACGGGGAATGGACAATCTAATTGCGGCTCGCGCTCATCATGCATTGGGTACCCGCGAGGACCGTAAAGAAAAGAAATGCCGTCATAGGCTGGTGTGCTTAAAGCAATTGAGTTGGTGGTCTGAAACGGAGGCATCGAGATGGTCGAGCTTGGGGCGTAGAGCGGCGGCCCCATTTTCCCATGGTAAAGTCTTGGTCATGCATTGAGGTACTCATCCACATTAGCATAAATCGATTGCAATTCTTCTCCTTCTCTCTACGTGAGAATTTCTTTTCTTTCTTCAAGACTCTTCAAACTCTCTCCCCCAGTCATCATCATGTTTCCCGATAATCTCACCTCCAGCGGCAACATCTCCGGGTTTATGGTGGTGAAAGATGCATCCGCAGCGCTTCTCTCGCCATGGACGACATTCGACAAGGTCTACAAGTCGGTCATGGGCTACCCTGCCAGCGATTTCGAATTCGTTTACGGACAGACACCGCTCTCGACTTTCACTGAAGCCATGACTCTGGTGGTGCTGTATCTCGTTGTCGTTTTTGGCGGCCGGGAGGTGATGCGCAACCGCAAACCGCTGGAGCTGGACACGCTCTTCAAAATCCACAACTTTTTCCTGTCTCTCCTCAGCGGAGCTCTACTGGTTCTTTTCGTCGAACAGATCGCACCAAGCCTGTGGCAGAAGGGCATCTACGAATGCATCTGCGGACCCACAGGCTGGACACAACAATTGGTCGTTCTCTACTACGTGAGTAGTATTTAAAACCACCTCTAACTAAGAACATAAGCTAACTCTTCCTGGCAGATCAACTACCTCACAAAGTACTACGAGCTCATCGATACCGTCTTCTTAATGCTCAAGAAGAAACCCCTTACCTTCCTCCACTGCTACCACCACCCGGCCACTGCGCTCCTCTGCTTCAGCCAGTTGATCGGAGGCACCCCGCTATCCTGGGTGCCCATCACGCTCAACCTGACGGTACACGTTGTCATGTATTGGTATTACTTCCAGACCGCGCGGGGCGTCAAGGTGTGGTGGAAGCAGTGGATCACCGTTTTGCAGATTACCCAGTTCGTGCTGGACCTTGGTGAGTCAAACCGGTTTCCCCCAGCTCACTCGACATGCCATTGACGCAAATAATGATCATACCGATGCTAATCTGCGCCGACAGGTTTCGTCTATTTTGGCTTCTACGACGTCTTCGCAGACACGTACTTCAAGGATATTCTCCCCCATGTCGGCCGGTGCGGCGGCGAGTTCTACTCAGCCGTGACCGGCGGCGCCATCCTGACGTCGTACCTGATCCTCTTCATCATGTTCTACATTTCGACTTACAAGAAGGGCGGTCGCAGCAAGGCGGCCGCATCTGCGTCGAAAAAGTCCAACCCGGCCGCCGTCTTCAACGAAAAGCAGACTTTGGCGGCGGCAGTGACCTTGGGAGGTAAAAACGCCACGGTTGAGCTCGAGACCTGATAAAGTTTCACAACTCAGCTCAACTTCTTTTTGCGTTTTTATTTTGGAGAAAGCATGAACCCATAGAATACCATAGACACGAAAGCATTGTTGGTCGGGTGGTCCTTGAATTGGGCCCGGTGCTCGGGCCAGAGTCTTCAAGGCGTGAGGGGGAGACGAGAGGAGACGAGATACCTCGTTGGTGCTATTGGTGGCGGTGACGGCGATGTTGGTCGGCTTGAGTATTGGTTGAGGTTCGAAAGCAGGGCGGGAGTTTACTCCGGATTGTGGAACAAATGACATGAGTTTATTGCAAGAGTATGCCCATGTCTGACTGTATGCAAAAGTGAAATGCCATGTCTGATGGTGAAAGATGGTGGGATGGGGTGAGATGGGGAGGAAACATCTGAAGTTGTGCGGCCTGCGGTCTGCCGGAGTGAGGCGGGTCGATGGATTTAGAATTACGGGCCTTCAAGGTGTGTGGTCGGATCGTCTGGGGAATCCTGGTCCGCAGATCACGCTAGTACGAATACGACCAAAATCCAACATGCTGACTCTCGAGGCCATTCTTCCTTTCCTCTCACTCAATAAGCGTTCTCGAGCACTTGAGTTGCTGGATTTCTGTCCATCAGTTTGGGTCATGCGTGGCAATAAGAATGAATGGAAAATATGTTACTGGCATGATCAATTGCCTCGTGCCTCCGGGACTATTGACATACTGCCATGATGCCACAGCCATGAAAGTGGTGCGCGCCTTAGTCCGGAGTGAGACAATTGACGGACATCACGTGCAATTAAAGCTGGAGGTATTTTCAGTCTTGCCAAGCATATGTTGTATTTGCGATGAGTTCAACCCATGAAGCTCTTGGCCTAAGTGCCGATAGCAGGACGGCTTGCTCCAGGTGGGCAGCATCAAAGTGGCGAAGCGCGGGCAAGCCTCCTCTTGTTTCAACCCTGAACTTCTTTCAACCTCCCACACCAAGATCGTGATCAATAATTCAGTAATATGGCATAAACAAGCAGGTGCCATGGCTTATGAGACATGGGCAATCGTGACAATACCAGCCACTAATGAACGGATGGCGTAGCGGGATCCGTCGGCTACTTGACTGAAGCAAGGTAAATGTCGATGATGAAGCAACAATGGAGTGATAAGATGAAAAGAGTTTAGAGAAAAAAAATGCCTGCATAGGGACTCGAAGGCAAAAGTTACAGGAAGCGGTAGCGCTGCACTTCAGGATTAGGGGTATAACCATCTTAAGCTTCTGAGCAGAAGTCCCTTTTGTTTCTGTAACTGACGAGAAGCTGGTTAATTGTTCCCTATAACCCACAAGGAACATGTTTGATATTTCGTTTAAACACCCACTGTCCTCGACTCTGATTCATCACCAAGACCGCATCGAAGTCTACCCCCACTGCTGACCCGAAACGACATACGGATACACAAGACTCCCATGATTCATTCCGTGGACGAAAAGCACTGCAACTGCACGGATAGGCCAAGCAAGCGATGAATTTGCAGAGTCCTATCTCTCTCCGATAATGACGAGGCCACCAACTGTCTTCTCTGGACTCCATGTTTCATGTTCCCATCCCAATTCATTGTCTTCGGTCCCGACAAACAAAGACATCGGCCCCGGAATTCCGTCTAGTTTGGAATTCCACGGCGACGGCGCCGCGAATGGCACCCTCTTCCGCCACACTTCCCCTCACCAAGTGTTAGCGCCCCCTCGGCTGCTGCTTTGTGCTTTGTTCGATCCTCAACAACAGCCCACCAGCCCCATGGTTCTAACGGGGGATCCGCGCGGTTCATCAAAAGATGATGGCTGTCAGAAATGGTGTGCTAGTAATGGCACTGAAACTTGGCCGATCTAGTTCTTGATCTGGCAAGCGGTGCCAGTCTTGCCCGTGAGCCACATGGCATGCTTCCTCCTGTCTCACAACCGATATTCTCTACAGACCCATACCTACCGACATCGGGCAGTCTTGCTTGCTAGCTCAGCCCATCACTTTGGAGTCTGACGTTCAGCTACTCCGTAGAACGCCTCGGTAGTAAGTGCGTTCAACGCGAGGCTATTCCTAAATCGAGCTAATGACAATTCGCGCGCAGCTGAGGATGTTCTACCAGTGTTTTCGGGCGCCGCCGATGATCTAGACAGTCAATCAACTGCAGGGTATGAACTAGTGATGAAGCTAAATAGAGACTATGGGTGGTTTCTGGCCCCTCCTCTTAAGCAGAAGGCGGCAGCTTTAAGATATGTGGACGACCTGCGATGCCCGACAGCACCTCTTTTCTGAATTTGGAACCTACCCAAACATCAAGTACACAGAACATTGTGCCGTCCGATACACTAGCTCTCAAAGCTCTTCCAGCATGCGAGATGACAAGAAGATGGAAAACGATGCCAAAAAGCGAGAGCCCGTAGCTGGAAGCGATGCACCCAAGACAAAAAGGCCCTCACTCGGATCTAGGCCATCCTCAGAGTTGCTCGGCGAGGAGCGCTCGCGAATCTCAGTTATACACTCCCACGCTACTCCACTACCTGGCCTCGACGACAATCTACGTTCATCCTACTCAGAGGAGAATGATAACGGCAGGAAGGACATTCTGCCACAATCCCTGACGGAAGAATGGGAAGAAAGGGCTCGCCTATCACAGGACCATCCCTCTGCCACTGGAACCGTGGCGAAGAGGGCGACGGATGTGACAGACGAAGAGACACGCAAGAGGAACAGCGAACTCTCGATGGCATATCAGAGCCTCTACAATGAAAACCAATGCCGCCGCCACGATTCCATCAGATCCTCAGTTACCCTAACCGACGGGCCACGACCGCCACCGATCCCGCGACGGATATCATCTCTACGACGACCTGGCGCCGTACGCATGATTCCTAGCGAAGACTCGATCTCGCCCACGCAAATCCAAAGCGCGTCCTCCTTCGCCATAAAGAGAGTTCCGTCACACACCGTCTCAGACTCACGTATGCTCTCTAGAACAGACGACGTAGAACGAAACGCCTCCTCATCAGCGCAATCCGAGTCCGTGTCAATCGTCTCGTCCATCTTCGCCCCGCAGCTCCGGCACCTCGCGAGCCATCCGTCTCTCCATGGATCCATATCGAGTAGTGAGCCGCGGTGGATGGGGCAGCAGGGTCTCACGCCTGTCACGGAACAGAGACATCCTGGCAAGACTGATGCTCGGATCAGCCGTTTCACAAGACAATTTGAGCCGGGTATTGACGATGTTGATGGCGGGGACTACCAGCGCCAAATGAAGTATCTCGATATGACGAGGGCGGAGAAGCATGGCGCCGTGATGTCGCCGTCTGTGAGCGATCAGGTTGAAGGGGAGCAATGGGTAGAAGGATGGCGGCTTGCGGTTCTGGTAGTTGGGATTTGTCTCGCGGTGTTGTCCATCTCGGCAGATCGAACTCTTCTCACAACCGTAAGTGGCCATTTCGTTTGACGAAACTCCCAAACTGACAGTACCAGGCCATACCGCAGATCACATCAGATTTTCAATCCACCGCAGACATTGGCTGGTACGGCTCAGCTCAGCTCCTCACGATCTGCGCCTTCCAGCCTGTATTTGGCAGAGTCTTTTCGCTTTTCTCCGTGAAATGGGCATACGTCCTAGCCATAGTCATGTTCCTTGCTGGATCGCTCATCTGTGGCCTCGCCCCCGACTCTCTTGCGCTCATCGTTGGCCGTGCCGTGGCTGGCTTTGGAAGCGCTGGGGTCCTCACTGGGAGTTTTGTTATTATCGCAACGGCGGTCCCCGTGAGAGTGCGGCCGGTTTGTACGGCCATCGTCGGATTGATGTAAGAAACCTCCATCCAAAGAGAGGGAAGTTCAAGACGTATTGACGCTTATGCAACGACAGCTTCGGCCTCGGCGCCACGGTCGGTCCTCTGCTCGGAGGTACCTTCACTGACCTTGTCGTGAGTGATCCCGCAGTTCCGAATGTCCGCAAAAGAAAAAGGAAAAAAAAAAAAAAGAGAAAGTGACTGACCCCCTTCCCAGACGTGGCGATGGTGTTTCTTCATCAACCTCCCCATCGCAGGCTTCACCCTCATCGTCTTTCTCTTTTTCTTCCACCCTCGGCAGAAACCGCAACCCCAAAAAACCTTCCTCAACAAGATTCTTGACCTAGACCTGATAGGCAACGTACTCCTCCTCGGAGCCTGCGTAATGCTCTTCCTAGCCCTCCAGTACATCACCCAAGGTGAAGCCTTGTCAAGCACAAAAATCATCGGCCTCCTCTCAGGCACCGGCGCAACGGCCATCGTCTTCGCGGCATGGCAGTGGTGGAAACAGGACGGCGCGCTCTTCCCACCAGCCATCATCACCCAACGAACTGTAGCCGCCTCCTGCGTCGCAGCCTTCGCCACGTACGGGGCTCTCCTCATCCACCTCTACTTCCTCCCAATCTGGTTCCAAGCGGTCCGCGGCGAGGGGGCCGTATCCTCCGGCGTGGACATGCTCCCCTACGTCGCGGCGATAGCCCTCTTCTCCCTCCTGGCAGGCATCTTCGTCTCCGTCGTGGGTCACCCCCCAGCCCCGGCCATAATCGGAGGCATGATCGCGACAGCCGGGTGCGGCAAGCTCCTTGCGCTCTCGTCCGACACGCCGACGCCGCACTGGATCGGGTTCGAGATTCTCGTGGCGGCGGGTTTCGGGATGGCGATTCAGCAGGTATTCACCGCCGTGCAGGCCGTCCTGCCGCCGGATGAGGTGGCCGTCGGGACGGCGGCGGTCGTGGCGTCGCAGGCGCTGGGCGGAGCCGTTTTTGTGTCTATCGGGAATGCGCTGTTTCAGAATCACTTGCTGCGGGCTTCGGCTCCCGGGGTAGATATCCCGGCAGTGGTCGGGGCCGGGGTGACGGCGTTCCGGATGGTTGTGCCGGCTGAGACGCTTCCGATAATGGTTTCCGTGTACAATGATGCTCTTCGCGTGGTGCTCACTGCTGCGATTCCGTTGGCTGCCGTTTCGACCATTGCGGCTTGTTTTATGGAATGGAAATCTGTAAACAGAATGAGAGGTGCATGATAGTCATGGCGGCGAGATAGAGGAGGGGTTGATGATGATAATGAGCATGCCAATTAGCGTACTAGCGAGATGCTCATTCGCGATTTGCAACAAGCTTATCTCTATGCTTTTTGTGAGCTATTCCTAATTTGCGTTTCGTAAAAGGCGACCCCGTGAGAGGCGTCTCTTTCTGATGAGGGGATCGATGACGATCGCAGCCATCCCGGTAAGGGCAGCAAGGCAACAGAATTAACCCCTGGTACCCGTGGAGCTGGTGGAGAGGGACCTGCAGGTGTTTGCAGAAGACGACACCTATGGCGCTCTGCTACGAAACAGTTTGGGCATTCCTTACACTATAGAAGTCAATGACAACTGGGCTGTGAGAGTCCTGTATTGCGGTCATTTCCACGAGGCGCGAAACCCGTCTAGTCAAGCCCGTGTGCGGCGTGATTCGTTCAAGGCGTCTAAGGCTGGTCAGGGATTCGAATCCCTCGACCCCCAAAATCAGTCGCCAAGCGCTGCATGTCTCTAGAACCCTGGCTTCAAGGTGACTTTGAATGCCCAGCTTGGGGCATAGGAAATTGAAGCATAGCCATTGTGCCTGCATGGAGTTGCGAGTTATTAATCGCAGCGTTCCGTCCCGCACCAAACCAATGCTTTTCTCGCGTTCTCTTCCCCGTCGTGCCGAAACTCTCTCTCACCTTCCTTCAAGATTGCTCGGGGCAGCACCCATCGTTGACAATGCATCTGCCGCTGCTACCATGGCGGCTTCTCCTCGCAACGGTGCCGCTGGTCACGGCGGTGGCGGGCCAGAGGTGTTACTGGCCCAACGGCGTCGAGGCGACGCAGGCGGTGGCCTGTCCCGTCGCCGGCGGTACCGAGGTCGCGGCGTGCTGCTTCCAGAATCATTATTGCATGAGCAACGGCCTCTGCTTCTCGCAGACGGAGCTGAGCTTCTACCGCGGCGCGTGTACGGATCAGAATTGGTCGAGGAGCGGGTGTCCGAAGTACTGCGACAAGGAGGAGATTACCGGCGGAGGTAAGAAACTTACTTCTGGGTAGGAAGACGGGGAAGAGATTCTTCTCTTGTTTTGGGGGAGTTCTGTGCCTTTGGTTAGTATGAACTGACCTTTACGATAGTCCCCGGCCGGCATTGCGGTGTCGCGTTATGCGGCGACAAGAAATTCGCATGTCAAAACTCCGGCAACTGCGCAAACTACACCTTTGGCGTTCCCGCGGGCCGGATGCTGCTCAACGAGTACCTGAAATCAGACCTCGGCGACCTCGCGACGACGACGGTGACCGCGACCGCGGTAGCAGGAGGACAGAGCACCGGCACCGCCGCAACGTGTTCAGCGACCGCGGCAGAATCCAGTGCCAGCAACGGGATCTCGACGGGCGCGGCGGCGGGAATCGGGGTGGGCATCGGCACCCCGCTGGCGCTGGCGATCGCGGCGCTGACCGTCATGTTGTTGCGCGAAAAGAGGAAGACGAGGGCGGCGCTGTCGAGCCAGGTGGATTCTTCCGGAACGGGGCCGTCGTCGCCATGGGCCAAGTCCGAGCGGACGGCATATGTGCCGGTTGAAATGCATGGACAGCCTGTGCCGAATGAGATGTCTAGTAACCATGATAGGAGACATGAGCTTTCTTGATGTTCGAGGCTTGATGGTGGCTGGAGGGGTTGGTAGTGTGAATATTCGAGTAGAAATGGGTTCCGCAGACTCTGAAACTGGAAGATTATCTACGTAGCCATAGCTATGAAATCCATGAATCTGTAGTTCTCTTCGATATCGTGCACTGGATCCTCTTGGCCGATAGGCCACCTCCCATGTTCCCAGATCACTACCGCTCAAGATACCTGATTTAGTCTGTCACGTCATCCAATTTTGTCGAATCTGACACCTGGTAGGGTTCGGTGGATGGAAACTAAGATATGTTCTTGAAGACCATGGTACATAGCGACTCTCAAGTTATACCATTATTGAGTAAGTCTGAAGCCCTCAAAGGTGGCTGAGAAGATGCAAAAGACACTATTGTGAATCAAATCTCATCGTGAGCTTCAATCTCATGTCCAAGGACATCGTTGGTAGCCAAATCGGCGCGGTCGTTGTAATCAGTCGTCTTGCTTCCATATAGGGTGATGATTATTCAAGATGAGATGCCTGCTGCTCGGGTCATTGTAACTCCCTTAGGAAAGTTAGATCTCTTCATCGTCGCCCGTCATTTCAACCTCGGAAATCCCGAATTACCGCGAAGTACAACTCGACCACGAGAATCCTTTCCAACCAAATCAGACTTCTATACAGCTGCAGTTGCGATTCAGCTCAGACGCAGGCTAGACAAGAGTTATTTCGGTTGACGCGCCAACGAGGCGAAGCACATGCAGGCGCCCCGGCGGCTACGACCTCAAGGCCAGCCAACCACCGCTCACCCGCCCTCACCACCATCACCATCGGGCGCCGTTTCGAAAAGGGTTCGTTAGTATCCGTAGACGGATTCCTGCCGTCGCGGCGGCTTGCACTTGAAGCGTTCATCATACGCTTGGCTCCCCCTCCTCTCGTCCCCCTTCTCACTGTTCGCGCTTTAGGGCTGAGGCTAAATTGTATAGGATGGAACGTGGCGTCGCCGGGCGGTCGCGTTTGCGCTTACCACGAGGCAGACAGACAATTGTCTCAGGAGAAGGGAAGTTAAGGCTCGTGCTGTCCCCAATCCCCAAAACAAGCTTGTTCGTACATGGGTTTCTCAGCTCAATGAGGCATCGTGTGAAGAGTGAACCCCCCAGGTGGCGCGCTGCAGGGTAAGCTCGGTTGCCGCTTACAGTACCATCGTAGCCGGGGTCTGACGGTGTGTTCACCCTTGCGAGCTGAGCTCTTATTCAAGTACTCGGCTGGCAGCCCAATCTCATTTTTTGCTCGTGTTTTCTTTTGATCTTGATGCCCTTCTTTCCGTTCAATCGGTGATCGTCGTGCGCGTTCGCCTCGCCTTTTTCAACTCTCCTGGCAGGATTTCGGAGCCAAAAAAAAAAAAAAAAGGAAAGAAGAGAAAAACGACAGAGGATTTAGGAATGGCCGATCAAATCCAATACCGTCCCCACACGGAGGCGACCGCGCCAGACCAGCCGGGCCTCGAAGCGGCACCGAGCCGGTACTCCACCGCGCCGATCCCGTATGACCCCTCCGAGTTCCAGAGCCCGTTGGAAAAGTCGACGTGGACGACAATCACGCAGGCCCATCACCCGGCGTATGCTTCCGCCGCGGCGGCAGACGCGCCGCCGCCAGAGAGACGGCGCGTTCTCGGACTGACGGTGCCTGTCTTCTGGGGCCTGGTTATTGCGCTGGTGGTTGTTCTTGCGGGGGGTATCGCCGGCGGTGTGGCGGGGGGTTTGGCGGCGCAAAAGGCCAACAGTTCGGCGGTGTCAGTGTATGTTCATCTGTCTCTTCCACTCACAGGAGGAAGACGAGACCATAGTTGACTGAATCTAATGTCCATACAGAGACCCGTCTTCAACAGCCTCAGCAACAGCAGGCTCGCAATCGGCGCCTACAACCTCAAGCGCAAGCTCAGGCACAGAGTCCCAATCTTCCCGCTCGACAGCCACCTCATCCACCGCGCGCTCAATCCCGACGGGCATCCGCTCCGCGCCAACGGACGGAGGCTGCCCGAGTATCAACACGACGACCTACACGCCCACCGACGCCGGCGGCAACGCGATGAAGATCGGTTCTGGGTACTCGACGCAGACCTTCCGCCAGCTCTGCGAGGTGAATTACCCCTCGGGCGCGGCGTACGGAAATCCGGCTCTGTACGATATCCTCAAGGTGTACGTCTCGACGTTTGAAGAGTGTATGGCGCTGTGTGCGGCGCATAACCAGGCGTATGGGAGTAATCTCGCCAGCGGGGATGTCAAGGCGGGAGGGTATTGTCGGTCTGTTGCTATGATTAAGTTGCCGGGGGAGTATTGTTACCTGAAGAATGGTACTGGTAAGATGGACACGCAGGGGCACGCCAAGGATTTTGTTAGTGGTGTTGTTATTTCTGGGCTGCCGGATGCGTAGGGCTGAGTATGTGGGAATGGGATGCCTAAAGTCTTTGGGTTTGGGGAGAGGCTGGAGTAATGACATCTATCGAACGGCTATATCGTTGATTGCCGGCACTTAATGTATATACTTTGAACCCTATGACATATGATCAAAATGCCGATCAGGTCGACCTGTTGGTGTTTGCTCAAGGCACAGATGTACTGCAAGGCTGGATCATCGGTAGCTGAGGCTCTGTTTTGAGACTTCGACCATGAGCCGCCACCAAACACACAGCGGCAGTGAGTAGCTCGAGGACGATGGAGGTGTGACTGAGGTGTGTGCGATGAGAGCGGGAAGAAGCGAGGTTCGGCGTGGTTGCATAAAAGAAGAGAGGCGCGACGGACATATCTGCCTATCAAGGCAGGGAAGATAAGTTGCGGACAAGCAAAGTTGCCTTGCTGGTGTGCCAGAGATTGTGAATGAGGATTCGTCTGGAGGCGGTTTTCTTATTGTGCCTTGCGCTCTTTACCGGGATATCGAACCCTCGGCCAGATTGAGTTAACCGTTTCTGGGCTGTTGAGATGGCAATAAAATGAACCTCGCTCGTTAACGTAGAAAGGGCTCTTCACTTGCCGAAAGAAGGTATTGCAGACGTCCTTGGAGGAGGTTGGGAGGTTGAGCATGTGTTTATGGACCTTGATAATTCTACTTCACTCGGCCTGAGGGATTAGTAAGTCAGAGATATCCCCGAATAAGCGCACTTGCGAAACGTAAGACTCGTAGCTGTGAGAAAACAACTCAGAGAAGCATGTGACGTGGTTGAGGTTATGAAGCAAAAGAGTAAGGTATCTTCGGGGGAAAGAATTCATGGCGCAATATTGACTCATCCTTCTGATCGCGTGCGCGATAATTTTAAATACTTGAACGCAACGATTGGGGAAATATCGCCGACTACAACGGCCTTGACTCCAATCCAGACATTAGTCTTATGAGGCAGGAGCT